CAGTAGCTTGCAAGATCCAAAGGAGGGGCGCACCAAGCGTTGTCGATTCCGTCGAAACCATATGGAAAATTTGATGGTGTCTTTGGCTGTGGATTCGAACCTGTGACCTTGCCAATATATTTCTTTATTATAGCCAGATATCTGGCAAAAGTTCAGTCCAAATTGGTGATATTGAAGTCTAATAATCATTAGTGATAATTAATTATTATTTAAGATAGTTGATTATTTTTGTCAAAGGTTTTGCTTGATTATTATTGATCTAGAATGATTTGTCTTTCTTTAAAATGGTGGATTCTTTCTTTGATGATGATTATACATCTCTTCATTAATAAGATGATTGATGATCTTTTATGATAGTTAATTATTCTTTTTGGTGGCTTTTGGCTTTTCATATTATCACATATTCTTTATGGTTTGGTTTGGTTTGGCTTTTTGAGTTTAAGATATTTGTAGGATGTTGCTAACACTTGTTTAAGTAATTTAAGTTCCTTCGTATTGTTGACCAGGATTTATTTAAATTGGCTAATGTGATAATTGGCATAAATGAGTATTTGTTGGTTTTGCCACATTCATTTTGTTTTATTGATTATTGTTATAGTTAGTTTTAATAGATTGGATATTATTTTCTTTGGATGATATATTCACGAGCATTTTACTTACCAATCGATGATACTTTCTGTTCTTTGAGTTATCTTATGTAAGTTGTTTAGCATATTATCTACAATCTTTGGTAATTAAGTTTTATTATTGAGTTTTGTTAATGATATACTAAGTATTGAATTTTGTTTGATAGTGATGATGATCTTGGTGGTTTTTATACTCTAATACTGATTTATCGGATGATAAATTACTTTAAAAACTTTTAATGTAAGATTTATTCACTGATACATAAGTCCTTAAGATATCATTATCTATGACTTTGATATTATCCATCTCTTGATTTTTCCATTTGAAAGTAAATTGGCTTCAGCACTTTGTGTGCATTGTGAAATCTCTAATCATGGGGTAACTACTATCACCTGCCTCTCTGTCGATGTTCCTTATATCATTAAAAGGGTGTGACCATGTAAACAACTCTAATTGCTTATTTACAATACTCTATCTAAACTTTACTGACTGGTTTAGTTTCTTTGCTTATAAAGGTTAAGGCTTTTAGCTTCTCTCTTTATGTCACATGTGGGTAGGGATATATCACTCTTTTGTAAGCTAAGTGATACTAGAGTAACAAGGGTGGCTAACTCCATTGATCATTTCCTTGTTGGTGATGACCATAAGGTGTCTAATTTTGTAGTGCATTTGTGTTAGACAGCAAAGTTACCCTAAATCATAAGTTGGTGCATTTCTCATATAGTGTCATCACTGTGAAATTTTTCTAAAGTTATTTCCTTGGCAGTGGTCTAGACTATAGTGTGCATCGGTGAAAATGTTGATCTTCCCTAAGGGGGGGAAAGTGTTACGAATAAGATTATATGTATTGAAAGTTACTTACGGACTAGTCCTTTCGGATATTCTTTCTTTACTACCATGACAGTGAAAGGTTGGTATTGTTAGTTCTTTTTTCAGCCCCTCTTGTTCAAGTGTTAGTAAACTAGGCTTAGCATCTGTACTTAGCCAAATGAATAACTTTTATGCATTTCTTGTTAAACATACTTAGCTTAGCTTTAGTTTTCTTTTGCTTTATATTGCAATGGCTTGACAAGAACCCTTGTGTATTGAGACTAATCCCTTAATATCGCCAAATGATAACTTATCATGTCTATTAAGCACCTTCGCTATCACACCCTATGTGTTAGTCTTGTTCAATTTTAATTACTATTTATTGAAAGTGGGGGGCGGGGGGAGGGGGTGGGGGGGTTGTGGGATAGTAGGGATAATAAGTAGGTCAGGCAAACCAACCTAAGGCATAATATAGCTTTCACTTGTGTGCCTGTCTTTATTTTATGTGCAACTTGGGTCTAAACCCAAGTTCTATACCATGTTAGTTAGTGGAGTACCTATATCCTTATATTAGGCCATTGATATACTAAAATAGTGCCAAATTCCATTTAGCTCTATTTTGTATGTTAGTCCTGGCATTGGGATGTTGGATGCTCTAAAACTATTTTAGTGGGATAGTAGGGATAACAAGTAGGTCAGGCATAGCCAACCAACCTAAGGCATAGTATAGTTTTTGCTTATATGCCTGTCTTTATTTTATATGTGGCTTGGGTCTAAGCTCAAGTTTTACACCATGTTAGTTGATAAAGTACCCATATCCTCGCATTATGCCACTAATATAGTGAAATAGTGCCAGACTTTATTTGGCTCCGTTTTACATATTAATTCTGGCATTGGGATGTTGGATGCTCTAAAAATATTCTAAATTGCTCTGTACTCATATCCCTTCGCTCTTTTACCTATACACTCAAAAGTTATTTTATATTCTAGTTTTTTTGCTCCTTTGCTCTTTACTTAGGAGTTTGGCTCCATCTTTTCATTCAATGGCTCTGAAATTCAGATTTCACTCCAATGTCTTTGGATATATGATATGTGACATATGGCATATAAAGGGTCTAGGTTCCACTTTGTAGTTAGCCTATGGTAAATCACCATAGGATAAAGGGTGAAAACTACATACACTACACTCACTTATTTTGCATTGCAATTAAATTGCCATTTTGCTCAATTCATAAGTTAAAATGCAAAACACTAGTTCTTTCAGACAGAGTTATACATAGGGAATATCTCTAATCCAATAGTGTTGCTCGAGTTTGATCTCTAGCTATTGGAATGACTCGCATAGAAATGCATTATTGTCCAAGCTCTCCATATGAACAAATGTTAATTACACTTCATTTTTGGCGGTAGTGAATATACCTAGAAAATATTTAAAATTTCTTGAATATTTATTTATAATTTTAAACTTAAACCCTAAAATACTATTATTTATTCTCATCTAATCTTGTGTTTATAAATAATTATAATTATTGATCAATTGGATTCACTAAGAAAAACAAGCATTATTTATAAACTAATATTTATTATATCCCAAGTGATGAAAACATCTTTCTTTTAAATTTAACATTGATAATGCATCTCTAATATTTCTTATTATTGTTTTTATTCACAAACTAATGGATGAAAGGAAGGAATTGCTGTGACCACCAAATGGTTTCTTAGGGCAGCTGGCATAAGGTTATTTAAGGTACTTTATTTTAAATTTGTTTTCTTTCATAAATATATTTAATCATATATATAAAAAAAAGGTATAAAATTCCAAAGAAACAGGGCTGTGGGTTGATTGCATAAAGCCAGACATTGTGGCTCAAGATCCACTGAATAACTACAACTACACTTGGTAGATGGTGCAAGCGTGAAGTACATTATTGCTCATCTCACAGTATATGTAAAGGAAGGAACAAGGTTGCTACTTTAAAACATATGACCACAAGCAATGGAAAGGCTTCAAACAAAAGCAGCTAGAAGCTAGTGGTTGAAGTTTGTTAGCACTTATTTCTTTTGTTTTATTGGCATTGTCTCTTAAAAGTCAAAGCAGTGACTATTGCATTTTAACCTTATTAAGTAACTTATCTTTTTCGACTTTTGATTAATCATTCTCCTTTGTGAAGATGAAGTTCATTTCAGCACTTTTTTTTCTATTTTAGTGTTGTTCAAGCCATGTGCTGGGAATTCTCTGACCAGCACAATGCTATAACACCAGCCGATGTCAATATGATTCTAGATGCAGTGATTGATAATCTGATTATGTTCGGTGATGATACTTACTATGAAAGTGGACGCGCTTATGTTGATCAAATCACTGTGACAAATAACGTTGTGATCGACATCGTCATCTTGGCTTATCATACAGACCCGAATCTGGATTTCTGCCATGTCAATCCAGGTAACACCATCAGCGTGAGAGGCCTTGTTATCAAAGCGATCATCCGATCCTTAGTAATGTATACAAGAGGTCAAATGCAAGTTTTTCTAGCCAGCAGCATGCTTGCAGTCTCCGAGATGTTTGGAGTCCAATATCGCATAGCACCAAATCAACAGATGGAAACACTTCACAGCCAAACGAAGAAAGCAATCGAGGTGATTGCCAAGCGAAATTGACAACGCTGGACAACATCTTCTACAATGGTCTTCGTCGAGATTTTGAGCTTCAGTCCCCGAATTTGATCTACACATTCATGCTCCAGGATGATTGTAGCTTGTCTTTGAATGAGGCCGGCCGAAGGCAAGTTTGGACGAATGGGGTGTGTGGGAGAGGAGTCGATTGCTATCTCACAGTCGAACTTAATGGGAACATGGTTGTCAAAGAAACCCCAAGTCAGGCTGTTATATGGTCACTAGATAAGTTCTGTGATGGACCATGCTATGCATTTGTGACTATGCAAAGAGATAGAAATGTGGTGCTCTATCATGTGTTTAAGTCCAGCCCAGGTAAACTTTATGCTGCTTGTGAAAAATTTCTAAAATAAAAGGTCGGCATTAGCCGAAATCTATCTATGGTGCCCATCTTGAAGCATGAAACTGATGGATGTATAAATGCAGTTTGGATTATCAGTGCTGTGTTGTCAGCGTCCTTGTTGGTGTTGCACTCACTGGCCCAGCCTACTCATTGTCTCGCTCAAGGTCCTTCATGATTATCGCCTTCATCACGTGGGAGATGTGGATATGCTGTAGCTCCATGCATGTGAAGTTTTCCTCAAGGCAAGCAGTTCTCTGTTTCTTGAACTAGATATATGTTCCCATGATTCGTGTTTGCACACCTGCCCGATGTAGATCTCTTCACTCCTCTGGATGTTGTGTAGAAGAAGGATATCAGCTCCTTGCAGTGGCAGTTGGAGCTCCAGCATTTATGGAAAAAGAACATAGTGCATAGGAGAAAGAGGAGTACTCTCACTTATATATCATCATCTAGCTGTATATACACTAGAGAAATCCTGGATAATATTTCACAATGAATGAGAAATATTAATTAAACTCGGTGATGTACACGCTCTTTAGGGTTCTTGGCTATGGATTGTCAATTGAATTGATATCTAGACTGTCGCTCAATTACAAGCGTTGAAATCCTACTCGCTTCTGCTGCTCACTGACACTATAAATGAAAGATTACGTCATAAAAAGAGGATCCAGCTTACCTCCTGGTAGAAATGCCAAAGCTCCTGAATGTCTTGATAGTTTTGCAGAGCTTGCTTCAGTGTCACTGGAAAGGAAAGGGAGCGGTGAGTCTCTAGATCAATCAGAATTTTCAGTAGACGCTTACATTTTGATGTCTTGACCTTGGGAGAGCCAAACTTTCAGAGCGGCAGTAGATATTCTGCGATTCCAGCTTCGAGATGCCACACTGCAATACAGTTTGAGATGAAAAAATTTGAATAATACTGTACTTGGTGAATTCGTCGTCAACATAGACATCCAGTACTTCAGTCAACACAAAAACGGGCCTGGAAGGCCTTCGAGGAATCTGAACAAAACGTCCTCAGCAAGTGCATCATCATCATCACTAACGTTTGCTTCATTCCATCTAGTCGGCTGTTGAACGTTTCATCCTCTTGGCTTGAGATCCTAAATTGGTCCAAACAGGCAAGGCGTGACCTTGAGCACCGTTCTGTACCTTCGATCCTGGATTAAGCTCTAAATCGACAAACACAGAGAACCTGCATGGGTCAAACCTTAGAACAGCACACATGCTTAGACAGCGGTGGCGCATTGCCCTTCGAAGACTTTTGTGGAGGCCTGCTCGGCATGCTTCCTGAGCAGTAGAACATGTTCAGTAAAAACTCAAGCCAGAAAACAAAACAGCCTACCTATTCTTTTTCCAGATTGTGGAAAGACGAGGGATCCAAATGATCTGGCAAGCCCTTCCTCCACAGTGTCTTCCTCTTACAGTGCCAACATTACATATAAGCATTTTGATCAGGGCTCCAATACCCACAAAGCATGCTGCTGCAGCGGAATCGGCCATACAAATGGATCCGCGTTGCACCCATGGCCAGGACAACAACATAGGATCGGATCGGATTGCTCTAGAAACAAGGTACTGGATTTCAATACCTGGATGCTGCCTTAGCGCTTACCTAGCCCCTCGCTTCCAATGTGCAATCCAAGGCTGATGTCACATTTCACTCGGGGTCAAAAGGTGGCTGTCCTTCACAAGATTATTTAGAGCGAAAGATGAACTGTGGGAAAGCAATGCTTTCACTGCAACGTATATCCCTTGTGCCTTGCTGATCAATCCAAAAGCCACAACGCTGGTGGTAGTGTAGCAGCTCCTCCTTTTGCTCTCTCCCCTACACTCCTCGACGATGTCTTTGCTGCGACCACGAAGCTGTGAACTTTGCTACCAACTCGAACGATGTTACTGATCCCTGGAACTTTTCTCACTCGCCTCGACCTCATCAGGTTCCAGATCATCGAGACCTTGTCCCACCTCCCAATGTGTAATCGACAGAGTACATGTTTGAGAGACCGCTAGTGTAGCAGGGCTCCAGCGCTCTCAAAGATCTTTGCTGCGACTCTCTCAGCACAATCAGCCATGGAGGAGGCAAGCTCCCATCCAGATCACGACATCTGGAAGGAATGGCATCGAGTTTGACGAGCTCCTCCACACTCAAAGTTCTCCTGGATCGACCCAGGACGTCGATCATGCAGAAATATAGAGTGCCCTCTCCTCGCCACCATCCCAAAGTACTGGCTGATCAAGACCAAGTGTTCCCAGCTCGGCATGGCTGCACGATGTTAAAACGCTCTGGAACATCAACTCGTCCGGCTTGACACCCCCGAGATTCATAAGCTGGAAGACTTCCACTGCTTGATCGTAGTGCCCGTTTTGGTCCGGGATTGGTCCGGGAAACTAAGGTGCGCATCTTCATGCTCTCAAACATGCTCCTGGCGGCGCTCAAGTTGAAACTTGCGTGAGAGTTATCCAGCAGACAATGGTCTTGCGCAGGATCTCGTGAACGGCCTTGTCAAAATGCCCATTCTCGCAAATGCGAGAATCCACGGTACTGGATTCTTCTCCGGGATTTGACCGAAGCTGTTCTTCGTGAGGGCAACGACGCCTTGGTGGCTGTCGTCATCGCCGTCCATGCACCATGTCTAAGATCTCTTTGGCGGTGGCCAAATCCCCCCTCCTGGTATTCAGGAACCCACGGAACGTCCTGCCATTCTGGGCAGTAGATTCGTCCAGGACATGAGATCCTTGGCCGGCGTTTTTGCGCAAGGTCGATTTCATTTGCCCCTGGTGCGCGACCACCATTATAATCGAGTTCCATGGCGCTCTGAGTCGCAATCAAACATAGACTCTCACTCTCGGATGCGGGATGCCGCCACATACACGGTGATCATCGCGTTCCAGGAGACGATCACGGAACTCCTTGTTCCTGGAAATCTCAAGATGCCCGGACTGGGCATACAGTGTACTGAGTGAGTGCCAACCGACCACGTCAATCCAAGAGCTTGTTTGCCTGGCTGAGATTGGAGCTCCTCACCTCCACGTCCCAGTTGATCACGCGGAAAACCTCCTCTTTGCTGTCCATCTCCTCCAGACCCAGCCACCGGTACGACTGTGGCAAAACTTGAGAGATCTCGCACACAATCTCGTCAGCTTGAGCTCGAGGGAGGTGACGATCAATGTAGAGCTCTTCTTCTTCTTGCGTGATCAGGTCCTGGCAATCTTGATTGAATCGTTCATGTCCAGATGGTAGTGAAAGGCGAGCATGATTTTGTGGCACAAAAGCAAGTCCACGTCGATCCTACCTCTGCAAATCTCGGACACCTTCGACATCCAAGTCGGCTCCCTTTCGTCCTTGGGCGGCTGGATGCCTTTGGATGATCGCCGCATTTTGCCGCGTCTTGGCGTCCGGAAGGGATGTGTCAGGGAGCGAAGCAATTGCGTCAGAATAGATGCAGCTGAGCTCCTGGACCAGCTCGTCCCAAGTCCGGCACGACAGGCCCGTTGTGTAGTTGAGAGAGAGGGGATGGAAAACGTCGCCTTTGTCTGGGTGCAACCGGATGGAGAGCTCCGAGGGATTCAAGCCACCCAAACATCGAGAGATGGCAGCTTTCCGCTGCACAGAGGAAGACGAATACCCGAGTCTCTCTCACCTTGCGAAACCGTAGCCGCACTAAAATCTAACGGTTTGGATGGTATATTCTAAGATATCCTTTAATCCAACGGCTGTGATGTATCGCTCTTAACCTTTTATTTGTTTGTAGTTACCACTAATATAAACTGCGTTTAAAAGTTCATTCTCATTCACTATTTCTAGCTTGTTGTCTAGCGTCTTTCTTGTTCAATTGGTGAGGAAGGCTTGCATATGCTGGCAGGGTCATCGAGAATTCAATGGCACAACATTGTGTGTGATTGATAGATTATGCTGAAGTGACAACTGATGAGAATTTGGTGTATATGATCGAATTGGTAAGCTCAATGGCATGTTTGTGCTGTTTGTGTGCTACTGGAGCAAATCAAATATATATCTTCCCTTCCACAAAATTTGATTGCATGACTACAGTGGAGATGCACCTAAGTTAATACTTTTTAATGATCTGTTTGTTTAAGTCTGTAATAATGTCGACAGTTAATCTTAGGTGAGATTTTGAGGAGAGTCACTCTCACAAGTAAATTGTATAGTGTTAAAAAAAGGAAAATAATAAAATGGTACTTAACACCTAGAAACTCAACACAGTTAATTTAATAATAAAATAGTAAAATAATAAAAAGGCAAATAATAAAATGGTACTCAACAACACAGTTAATTTAATAATAAAATAGTAGAATAATAAAATAATAAAATAGTGTTCATGTTAGGGGGCGACCCTAACACCGTATTATTCTTAATTGAAAGTCGAGGCGGATGGGAATCGAACCCAGCAACCCTTCACAATAGAACATTACAGCGTGCATGCTATAACCACAAAGCCATGAACACTGGGTGATAACAAAATATTATTTCAGCACCTCTTATTGAAAAGGATTTGGAATCCATCTGATTGTCCACGTGGCTGCGAGGCCAGAGGATCCACGCGCGGATCCTGGAGAGCAGCTACTGGCCGAATCAATACCGTCTTCATCCGGCATGAAATCAAACATTTCTTTGGAGGTGGCCAAATCCCCCCTCTGCTATTCACTGCTGGAAGGGGAACCCATGGAACGTCCTGTCATTCTGGGCAGTAGATTCGTCCAGGACACCAGAACCAGATCCTTGGCCGGCGTTTTTGCCCAAGCTCGATTTCGCTGCCACAATTTGCCCCTGCTGCGCGAGCGCCATTATCATCGAGTTCCATGGCGCTCTGAGACGCAATCAAACATACACTCTCACTCTCGGATGCGGGATGCCGCCACATACGCGGTGACCATCGCGTTCCAGGAGACCATCACGGAACTCCTAATCGAACAAGATTGACGCCGCATCGATCGAATGCCCTGTTCTTGCTGCTCGCATTTGCCAGCGAAAGGGAATATCGCGCGATCCAAGAGCCTGAACCCGGCGCGGCGGCGTGGATCATTCGTGGCGTCGCGCCTAGAGAAGATTTAGCTCCAGCAACGCTGCCGAGAGCGACTTTGCGGAGCAGAGAAATCCCTCGTTCATACAAAAAAATTTGATTGGCTCTCTGGCTGTGGAATCGAACCTGTGACCTTGCCAATATATTTTTTTATTCTAGCCAGGTACCCGGCCATCAGGTTCCCGTCCAAAGTGTACACTAATTGCTTCTTAACGGATACCATAATGTAAACAGCGGCGCAAGAGATTTTCGTTTTGTGGCGCATGGCGCGCAGCGCGTTGCTGCTGTCAAGCTCAAGAAAGAAACCATTCTCTTCTCGATGGAATGAAACTCTCACTTTCTCCATGCTGTGGCGAGGCCATGGCAAACAAAACGGGTTGGATGGACTCTGCATCTCAATCTGAGCAAGCAGTTGATGCAGAAGCTATTTTTGAGAAACAAAGTATAAGCATGCTGCAACAAGAACCAGCAACATCCGTTTAAGATATTGTTCTGGAAGATGGCTTGTCTGAGCTCGAGTTTGATTTGATCCAGGCACCATGGTCCCGGGAATCTATTCTCACTTGGTTGTCCAAGCTGGAGGTCCATAGGTTTGGATCCTTTCAAATCCTCGGGGCGTGAGACTCTGGAGCTCCAAGTTTTGATGCCTTTTCTTGGCAATAATATAATATATTGCTCTGAAACCGTGAAAGCTTACTCACCCGCAAACAAAACTCCAGGGTTGCACCAGAGATCCAATAAACCTGTGAGAGCCTTGACCAAGCTCAAACTCAATTAGCTCAGAGCAAGCTTTCTCAAAAGTTTCCAAAGAGCAGATGGCATAACACAAAAAAGTATACCAGGTCACCAACTCATCTCATCACAAGTTGCGTTGTGGTCACTCACTACAGGCCTCCATTTTATCTTGGAAAATGCTCGAGGCCAAAGGGTGGCGAAGATGAGGAATGAAGTGATCTGGACTGGACAAGAGTATAAGCAAAATGAGCACGAGAAGAACCATACATACCGCGGAAAAGCAGTGCTTGTGCTTGTGAGCCTAGTTTGAAGATGTCTGAGACTGAGAAGAAAGACCATGCTGCTCAACTCGTAGAGCACGCCCGGCAGCAGCAGACCGCCCGGGTAAAGAGCCCCCTGGATCGAAAATGTGCAGCAGTAGCGTATAATGGCAATGGCGGTGGTTTTCCATGGCATCGTTCTTGAGCCTTGACGAGGAGGTGCCATCCAGCGAAGATTTGCAGGAAGGAGGAGCAATCTCCAGTGGTGGGCGCCTGGGCGAGAATGCGGTGAGCACAGATCTGGGAGGGGGAAGGCGCATCCACGAGGAAAATCGTCTCCAGCGGCCTCGAGGTTCCTTGCTAATCTGGTCATAGAAATGTATGGAAAGTGTATGGAATGTATGGAAATCTTCCAGAAGATGAAAGATCGAGGTTCTTTCTCTTGGAAGATTGCGATCGCGTCATTTGCCCATGTTACTCTTTTTCTCGATGGCGAGCATCCAATTATTTCTCTTGGCAGCTATCAATGCCGATCCGGTGGGAGATCCACGCGCTAGTCGTCGCTGTGGCCTGGCCTGGCCTGGATCACTTGTTAAGATATATAGATAGAATATTAAGATTGTTCCCTTAATATTTGCTAAATGATAGCTTACCGTGTCTGCCAAACACCCTCGCTATCATGCCCTTAGCGTTAGTCTCAATTCGGTCCCAAATGCTATTTATGGAAAGTGTCTAGATTTGCTCATTTGGCATATTTACGGAATGTAGAGATCGGCTTGAACACAATGATGTTCATCCCGTGTCCAAATTCGCAATCTAGCACTATTCCATATTTAATAAGTTTCGAGCTTGTCCCAGGGAGAGTGGGTAGGTCGGGCATGGCTGACTAATCTGAGGCATAGTTTAGCTCCCGCTTGCGTGCCTATCCTTGTTCTACGTCCGATTTGGGTCTAAGCCCTGCTAGCTGGTGGAGTACTCATGTCCTTGCGTTAGGCCACCGGTATGCCGGAATAGTGCCAGACTCTATTTGTCTCTGTTTTGTGTGCTGGTCCTAGCAATAAGATGCTAATTGCTCTAGGATTGTTCGAAGTCGCTCCGGGCTTCTATCCCTTCGCTCCTTGGGCTGTATGCTTGGGAGTTGCTCCGTGGACCGGTTCCGTCACTCCTTGGCTCCATGCTTGGGAGTTTGGCACTGTTCCTTCGTTCAATGGCCCAAGGCTCTGAACCTCGAGTTCTGCACTATTGTCCTTTGGATACATAGTATATGACATGTGGCATGTGTCATGTGGCATAAAGAGGGTTTAGGTTCCGCTTCGTGGTGTTATCCTATAGTAAATCACCAGCTAGCAGGGTCAAAACCACGTGTGCTACATTTGGTATCAAAGGAATCTTCTCAGCGAGTATTATCCAATGAGATTGGGCAACTAGTCTCGTTGCATACACAAAGATGAATACGATGATCTGAGTGGGTACACGTTTGAGTGAAAAGGCTTCGCATTCGTTCCTTGAGTATAGAGTTTAATTACCTTTTTGTACCGCATTGTATGAGCTTGCTCTTGGGCTCATAAGATGGTTGTGAGATGTTTCGTTAGCACGAGTTTACGCTAGAGCTCATGAGTGAGGCACATTAGCAACTCAAGGTTACACTTTAAGTTGGCAGGATTAATGTTAGTCTATCGGTGGTTCCATGAGTTGTTCTAATGGTTCTGTGAGTTGTTTTATGTACCATGGGTGAAAATAAACTTTCCCTGGGTTCGCTATGAGTGGCAAATAGGCTGGTCCATAGCTATTTAGCATGGCACTAGTGAATCCTTCCTAGGCATGATTACAAGTGAATCAATTAAGACTATAGGGATGAGTCTATTGATTCAAGTAACCATTGTTGTGCTCTCTCATAAACTTTTCTTGGATTAGACTAAAGGCAGTGCCAATGCAAGATTGAGATTTAGTTAAAGATGAGACCGAAAAGAGAGTCGTCAAGGACGAAGGATCAAACACGTAAATCATTTTCTCTCATTGGAGATATGATTTGCAACGAGGTGTGACTCATTGCTCATGTTCATATCATGCAATCAAGAGTCCCTATCTTGATGCATGTTGGAGATGATGGTCTTACAAATAGTGAGTTATGGGATGGATAGTGGTGAAGCGCTAAACCATTTTGTCTAGGCTTGCTATTGGAAGACTTAAGTTACAATGTTCAATTCTTTTCTAGGAACCTTGTTATTGTTCCTTAAGTAGCTTGGTGTTGGATTAGTTTTGAGTTTGGTCGGAAAGAGAGTGGCATGAGTTTGTCTGTGTTGTGAACAAAAGTTAGTGGTGTTGAGTGTTGTAAATTGCTATTGGTGGAGTGTGGCATTTATGTTACATTTTATCGAATTAAGTTGACACTTGATATTCATATAAACCTTTGAAGTAATGATATTGGCATTGCTCGTGGTGTTGCTTGATTGATGATCAAGTCATTGTGATTTTTATATCATATCCATGTGATAATGAGTAATGTGTTTACGAAGTTGCTTGGTTAAAACGATGACCCCAAAGTGGTTGATGGTGAAGTTAGTCTACTTGCATGTAGTAGCATTGTAGTAGCTTTAACTGGAT